AAAATCGACCAAAAAAAAAAAAGGCACCAAAAAAAAAAAAAAAGACCCAAAAAAATAGGCCCTCCCTCCTAAACCCTAAACCCTAAACCCTAAACCCTAAACCCTAAACCCTAAACCCTAAACCCGTCATATCGGGTCGGAAGTCGTCGACGGGGACATGGTAGATGTCCCCGGCTCCAGCTCGAAGGAGCATGTCCCCCAAATGCCATGTGAGGACTTCCTGCCATTTGCTTAGTTGTCCAGAAACCTGGGGGAACTAAAGGTTCACCTTGCGGATTACCCCTAAACCCTAAACCCTAAACCCTAACCCTACACCCTAAACCCTAAACCCTGGATTTCCCCAAAAAGGTTAAAGGTTACCTACTCTACTACTAGGTTTAGCCTAGTAGGATCTGGGAGAGCGTCTTGGGTCTGAGGGGTGCGAGGCGTGGGGCTTGCGAATGCTTAGGGCCTATCAGGGGTTTAGGGTTTAGGGTTTAGGGTTTAGGCAGCCTAGGACCAGCTGAAGCTTGAAAAAGCCACGCTGCGGATCTGTTTTTCTCAGGCGGTCGCGAGCCGCGCAAATTGTTGCAAGGGTGAAACACGCCACACGGATCACTGTGAGGGATATTTTCAACACTTACCAAGCTGGTCCGGAAGAGTACTTAAACCCTAGCCCTAAACCCCAAATCCAAAACCCTAGCCCTAAAGTTTGTTGGGGCTCGGGTTTGGGGGAGATGAAAGGATCTTCAAAAGGACTTAGTGACTGCACTTTCCCGTTTTAGCGGACCTTACGTAGGGGTTTGGGGTTTATAGGGTTAAGGGTTTAGGGTAGGGGCTTCAATAATTGGAATAGGGTTAGGGCGGTAAAGGGACTATGAGGGAATAGGATTAGGAGGTTGTCCGACCCCTGGAGCCGACGAACAACTTGTTTCTAGACCCCAAGTCCTTCTACCCACAACCCTAAACCCTGAACCCTGGCTTAGGGTGTAGGGTTTAGGGCTAGGGTTGAGGATTTAATGTTAGGGCTTAGGGTTTAAGGTTAGGGTTTTTTTAAACCTAAACACAAACCTTCGGCGGGGGCCTATCGAGAGCATCACTGATTCACTGGCGCCTCGTCCGCCCTTAGCTGCCGGATCTCTATTTAGGGGGATAGGGTTTGCCTGGGTTTAGGGTTTAGGGCTAGGGTTTAGGGTTCAGGATTTAGGGCTTAGGGTTTAGGTTTAAGGTTCAGGGTTTTAAACCATTTGTAGGGTCACTGTTTAGAGTGTAGGGGATCCTGGAATACTGTAACCCCAAAGGTCGCCTACCACCAACACATGCCCAAACAAGGCTGGGTAGGTCGAGGATCCCTCAACAGAAAATAACCGGCAGCCAGGATGGCCCTTAAAGCCTTCTGAACAATATTCCTAAGTGTGATCCTCCTGGTCCTGAACTCAATAAGGGAAAGTATCCCTGAACAGGAGGAAACCAGTAAGAAGGACCCTTGGAAGAAGAACCCCTCCTCCCCAAACCCTGACACTAACCGCACTAAACCCTAATTAAAGCCCTAAAACCCTGAAACCATGCACCCTAAAACCGTAAAACCGTAAAACCCTAAAACCCGAAAACCCTAAAAACCCTTAAACCCTAAAGCCCTAGAACCCTAAAACCCTAAAAACCTAAAACCCCAAAAAACCCAAAAAACCGAAAAACCGAAAACCCTAAAAACCTAAAACCCCTAAAGCCTAAAACCCCTAAAACACAAAAGCCGAAGAAGCCCAAAAACCCCAAAACCCTAAAACCCTAAAAACCCTAAAACCCCTTGAACTCTAAAACCCCAAAACCCTAAAAGCCTAAAACCTTAAAACTAAAGCCCTAAAACCCAAAAACCCTAAAACCCTAAAACCCTAAAAACCCTGAAACCTAAAACCCTAAAACCCTAAAACCCAAAAACCCTAAAACCTAAAACCCTAAAACCCTAAAACCCAAAAACCCAAAAACCCAAAAACCCAAAAGCCCTACAACCCTAAAACCCTAAAGCATTAAAGCCCTAAGACCCTAAAGCCCTAAAACACTAAACCCCTAAACCCAAAAACCCAAAAACCCTAAAGCCCTAAAACCCTAAAAACCCTAAAAACCCTAAACCCTAAACCCTAAACCCCAAACCCGCCCTAAAACCCTAAAACCCCTAAACCCCTGAACCCGAAAACCCTAAAACCCGAAAACCCTAAAGCCCTGAAACCCTAAAACCCTAAAACCCCAAACCCTAAACCCTAAACCCTAAACCCGCCCTAAAACCCTAAAACCCCTAAACCCATAAACCCAAAAACACAAAACCCCTAAAACCCTAAAACCCTAAAGCCCTAAAGCCCTAAAACCCTAAAACCCTAAAACCCCAAACCCTAAACCCAAAACCCGCCCTAAAACCCTAAAACTCTCTTCCACAACTTCCCCATGAGGCGGGGATCCGCAATCTTGAAGCCTGGAAAAACGGTGCTAGCGACCTGAAATCCTTGCGGCTGGAGGTCGGAAGGGTTTAGGGTTTAAGGTTTAGGGTTTAGGGTTTAGGGTTGGGGTTTAGGGCTGTTTTGGATAAACAACTCAGGTTCAGGGATTGGGGTTCCTGAATCCTCTGAAAGGCCTGTGGAATTGTCAGCTCCAGCAGGTCAACCGCCAAACTCAACACGGGAAAACGGAAAGGGAGTTTGCAAAATTGGGCTAAAGACTTAGGGCTCATGCCCCCCCCGCCCCCAAGAAACCCCTAAACCCTAAACCCTAAACCCTAACCCTAAACCCTAAACCCTAAACCCTAAACCCTAAACCCTAAACCCTAAACCCTAAACCCTAAACCCTAAACCCTAAGCCGACTTCGGTCCAAGCATCTCTTGCACCATCTGCTTGAGGACCTCCATGTCCACCGGACACAAGTCGTCTGGGCAGGCGGAAGTCGTCGGCTAACGTTTAGGGTTTAGGGTTTAGGGTTTAGGGTTTAGGGTTTAGGGTTTAGGGTTTAGGGTTTAGGGTTTAGGGTTTAGGGTAAGGAATTCAGGGTTGGCTCCCTAAGCTTCCCTAAGGTTCCCTATAGGTACCCTACCCCCCATGAATTAAGAACCCCATAACTTCTGTGTTACAAAGAGACATGCCCGGATGGCCTCTTCTTCTCCCCACCAACAAACCCTGAAACACTTAAGAGGCTCTTCATAAGGCTGACCATGGGGCTTGTAAGGCCTAACGGCCCATCCTAAATCATCCTAAACCCTAAACCCTAAACCCTAAACCCTAAACCCGGTCCCGAAGCCCTGGGCATCGCCCCTGTGTTAGAAGCATCTTCGGAAGCTTAGGAACACCCTAACCCCCAAACCCCTCTCAACCCCAAGCTACGGAACCCTACACGTTTCACAGGCCTCTAGCTTCGGACTCGGGCCTCTGAGGCTTCAACTCCTCGACACCCTAATCGGGTTTGGGGTTTAGGGTTTAGGGTTAGGGTTTAGGGTTTAGGGTTTAGGGCGCCTGATCAGAAACCCCAAACAACCACGCCAGCCTGCCCACACCCCCCCCCACCCACCCCCCGCACAGCAAAACATTGAACACTTGTCAAGATTCGGGTCTCTGTTCTGGGGCTGCGTTTATTGGGTACCTCCTTCATGGAAAAAATTTGCCCCATGTGCCATGCGCGCACGCGGTAGGTACCCGGCTCACTGGCGTCTCCGAGGTGTTCAGCGCCTTTACAAACTTGATGCCGTATCTCCTGGGCTCAGGACCTATACGCTAAAAACCTTAGGGTAGTTACATGCTCCCTTAGTATGGGCCAAAAGGGGTCCCGTTACATACCCCTTATATACCCTGCCTATAAAGCTTTTAACTCAAGGGCGCATACATCAGAACCCTTTAAAGGAGGTAAGGGACCATATCAAGGGCCCATAGAGCTCTCCTTTGGAGACAGGGAAACGAGGGCTTAGGGCAACTAGGGGCTGAAAGGCCGTTCTTTGACAATCGCGAGCTACATCTGTCACTAAACTCCATCTTCTTGATATTTTTTGGGAGGGACCCTAAACCCTAAACCCTAAACCCTGAACCCTAAACCCTAAATTAGGGTGCCCTGTTTGTTCCAATTCTATCTTTACATACTGTGGGGCCTCTGTGGAGCTTCCATCTACGGTCCCCACACTTAACAAGGCCCATGATTTGAAGTAAGTTTTACGGTTTTCGGGTGAGGGTTTAGGGTTTAGGGTTTAGGGTTTAGGGTTTAGGGTTTAGGGTTTAGGGTTTAGGGTTTAGGGTTTAGGGTTTAGGGTTTAGGGTTTAGGGTTTAGGGTTTAGGGTTTAGGGTTTAGGGTTTGGGGTTTGGGGTTTAGGGTTTAGGGTTTAGGGTTTAAGGTTTAGGCTTTAGGGTTTAGGCTTTAGGGTTTAAGGTTTAAGGTTTAGGGTTTAGGGTTTAGAGTATAGGGTTTAGGGTTTAGGACGGTTTGAGGGGTTGAAGTTTGTTGCTACTCGTATCCCAAAACTTACAAGTATCGGGGAAGGGGGGGGGGGGGAAACCATGGGGGTAGCGGGAGGGGGGTAGACGCGGTTACAAGCCTTGGATCATGTAAACGCTCCTCAAGATTCAATCCAAAACCGTACACAAGAATAATTGCTAGGGAGGCTGAACTTCAAAATGCACTTGTAGTCATTCACCCTAAAACCTAAACCCCAAACCCTGAACGTTTGACTGTCTAGGCCGTCTAGGCAGGTCCGACCAGAGCCCGCCAATGATCTGAACCTTGTGCTGGCCCCCACACCCAACTAAACCCTAAACCCTAAACCCTAAACCCTAAACCCTAAACCCTAAACCCTAAACCCTAATCCCCAAAAAAAGGTCTCGTCATGCCACGGCTCCTGCAGTAAATCCAAGGCCGCGGATGCGACTTGCCTCAGTGACTGTTCGTCGCTTGCGGGAGAAGGAGGGACCCCTGTACAAGCCCTTGGGTGTTAGGCTAAACCCTAAACCCTAAACCCTAAACCCTAAACCCTAAACCCTAAACCCTAAACCCCCCCTAACCCTAAAGAATCCCGAAGGTCTTCGCCGCTTGCGGTCTTACACGCTATTGGGTTAGAACAGGGTGGGTTTAGGGTTTAGGGTTGTGATGTTCACCCTTATACTAACAGTCCTCAATAGGGATTATAGTACCTCATTATTATAAGCCCTATTAAGGACTCTTAGCATAAGTATTAGGGGGAACATCCCAAGGTTTAGGGTTTAGGGCTCATGAACCCGATCAACCCCCCCAAGCGGCCTTCTCAAGGGAGGGCGTAATAGTCCTGATGGGGGTTGTGGGGTTTAAGGCCTAGGTTGAGTTCGGTTGCAGGTAGTTACCCGGGACTCGTAAACCATTTAACCCTACAACCCCGCAACCCCAGCGGAACCCTAACCTGGGATATTTACCTGCAGTTTAGTAGCATCTACTCCTTAAATTAGTAGGTATAACCTATAAGACTCCCTAAACCCTAAACCCTAAACCCTACACCCTAAACCCTAAACCCTAGACCCTAATCCCGGTAGCCCAGCAAGCATATGATACTAAAAGGGCACCCTTTTTGGGACTGGTTCCTTCACAAGGGAACTCAAAACCAACAAAAACAGGGCAAAGGGGTACCATTGGGCTACCAAGCTTTGGAGGATCTTCTACACCCTAAGCCCTAAGCCCTAAGCCCTAAGCCCTAAGCCCTAAGCCCTAAACCCTAAACCCTAAACCCTAAACCCTCTGAACCCCAAAGCCGAACCCCCTTCAAGAAGGTGCCAAGAAAGGGAACCCGAAGCCCCAAAAATCCCGAAAGCACCCCAAAACCCCTGTAAATCGCATGACCCTATGAACACTCTAAACCCTATAAACCCACTAGATCTTGTAAACCCTAAAGCCCTACAGACCCTAAACCCTAACCCCTTTCAACCCTAGACCCTGACCCCTTAAACCCAAACCCCAAAGAACACCCTGAACCCTAAACCCTAAACCCTAAACCTAAACCCTAAACCCTAAACCCTAAGCCCGAAGCCCTAAGCCCTAAGCCCTAAACTCATTCTCGACCAGCGGCAGCAGTTCGCCAGCGCCCAAGGCGAGACGTATGCCAGCCTCGGCTCGAGTCCCAGACACGAGGTTTGGGTTTAGGGTTTAGGGTTTAGGGTTTAGGGTTTATAGGGTTTAGGGTTTAGGGTTTAGGGTTTAGGGTTTAGGGTTTAGGGTTTAGGGTTTAGGGTTTAGGGTTTAGGGTTTAGGGTTTAGGGTTTAGGGTTTAGGGGGACTTTGTCATGCTATTGGGGCTTGAGAGTTGGATGGGAAACCGATGGATTGTGACGGCACATGTTTCAACATCTTCCTGGGACTCTGTTTACCTACAGTTTACTAGTAACTACGGTTTAGGGCTTAGGGTTTAAGGTTTAGGTTTTAGGGTTTAGGGTACCCTTTATTGGTAGGTAAAGAGAGTCCCAGGTTCAACATCTGTCCATTTTTTCTCGCAGCTGGCCTTGCATCACGAGTCTTGATGCGCATCGTGGCGCGCAACCGCCCAGCTGCCGAGGTTGCGTGTCTTGTTCTATGTAATTATGCCTGAACTGTCAACCATCCCAAGCATGTATCATCAGGGCACTATGCTTAAGCAAACAGAGTATCAAAGACATATCGTATTCCAAACCGGTACTCGGCGTTTATATTCATAGCGCTACACCACACGGGGCATGATTCGCCATGGTCAAAGGTTGCAGGTCAGAGGTTGTACCCGTGAAAAGTTCCCCTACCTTGACCCCTAAACCCTGATCTACTCCTGAACACGATCCCTATAAATATTCCTTTAGGGGACCTTCGAAGAACTTACTGTTGGTTAGCAGGAAAGGAGGGGATAAGGTACCCTCTATAAATCCCTTAAACGGTATATCTTGGGGGAGAAAGGGTACCTCATTCCCGAACCAACAGTAAGACAAGGGCTTCCTAACCGAGGGTGCCACCGTAGGGTTTCAAACCCCAAAACCTCAAATCCTAAAAGGTTCCAACACTTGGAAGGGGGGGGGGGGTGGGGGGGTGGATGGTGGGGGTGGGGGGGTGGGGGGGGTGGGGCGGGTGGGGGGTGGGGGGGGGTTGGGGGGTGGGGATTGCCCTCCATTCGGAACACCAAGCCCTGAGTTCAGGCAGAAAGAAACACTCTTCAGATCTACGAAGCTGGAGCTGCGAAAGCATGTTGTTCCGGTAAGACTCTCGGAAGTGTCGGAACTCCAATTCTGGATCCTGAAAAACAGCTGCCTGCCGAGGTGTCTCGACGTTTACACATGTCTTCTTCCGCTGTTGTTTCTGAAATCTTCTGATCTTTCCTCATTTGTTCCAAGATCTTCTGGATTCCGGCGTTTGCGCTGTTGTTTGGAGATCTTCTTGAGATTTCCTACACGCGTAAAGATCTTCTAGGCTCTGGTGATCATCTAAGGAATCAGGTTGACAGCGCAGGCTCAGATCCAAAAAACAGGCATACGAGCTCAGGCGAAATCCTAGACCCTGAAATCTCAACTTCTAAACTAAAGTAGAGCTCAACTTCAGGCACGTAAGTAAACCCTCAACACATCAGTGCTCTAAACAAGTTCGGCATCGCAATGTCAACCCAGGAAGTGGCTGGGAGAGGATTCCCAAATGTTGGACTGGCAGAGTGCCAAACCAGAAATCACGAACTCAACAACTTCACGCATGCATGTCTGGGACTGAAAAGGCCAAGGTCTGGCGTGGCTTCCTCCCCCAAGCATACGCGCAACACGATCTACCCACGGTGGGAAGTTGTCCTCGCAGATCAAAATCAACCATTTGCCACACTGCACAACTGAACGCAACAGACATGACTGTTTCTCCCACAGGCCGCCTACGCCGACCAGGTGAGTGGCGAGCAACTCGCTCGGATC